GTGCTTTCTGATAACATATTATGCCGAATAAAGGAATCCACTATGAAAGAATTTGGTGTCTGCTTCTCTGATCTGAGCCTTACATTAATGAATGGACAGAATTTACAAAGTTTTCATATAGTGCCTAAAAGTGAGTTCTGAAAAATTTTGTAAACTTAAATGATGCTAGGTCTGTATACTATAAAAAACAAAATTCATCACCATTTTATCTTAGAATTATGTTCATACAATCTGTAATACTACATGTTTTTAAAATACAAGTGTAGGGGGCTGGGGATATAGCTCAGTTGATAGAATGCTTGCCTTAAAATACAAGTGTAAAAATCCTCAATGAAACAGTAATAAAAGACTAAAAAGTATAGTTATCCTCACTGTACTTCCTACTTATATTTCATCCTAATGAATTTTGAGGAACTATATAAAATGAAATAAGTATTTACCAGGGACCACTTCAATAACCATTAAAAATTTTTAATCAGACCAGATTATGGTGGCCTATTATCCCTGTGACTCAGGAAGCTGAAGTAGGAGAATTGCAAATTTAAGACCAGTTTGGGCAACTTAGTGAACCCCTGTCTCAAAATGAATATTAAAAAGAGCTGGGGATGTAGCTCAGTGGTAGAGTGCTGGTCTAGTATGTGCAATGTCTTGGTTTCAATCCCCAGTACCAAAAAATATATATTTTTTCAAACAAGCAGGAAAAAAATTTCCATTTTAGATGCCACTAAGAAAAATAATTTGGAGGGCTGGGACTGTAGTGCAGTGGTAGAACACTTGCCTAGCATGTGTGACGTACTGGGTTCCATCCTCATACCATAGATAGGTAGGTAGATAGATAGATAAAACAAAGGTCAAAAAATCTTTTAAAAAAGAAAGAAAAAATTATTTGGAAGCATATATTATAAGCTACCATGAAAAAAACAGAACTAACGCCGTTTCCCCCCAATGAAAGAACTAAAAAAATGGTGCCATTTCATCTGTTTAGCTATCACACTACTTTCATTATTTTAAAAAAAAATCAATCTTAAAGAAAGAATGTTGTTTTTTTCTCATTACTGAGTAAAATATTCATGCAGAAGAATGCAATCCAGCATTCACCAAAAACTTTTATAAATTCTATTTCAATTATTATTGTAAAATAACTGATACACATTTTTGCTTTTATAAACAACATTATTATAAATAATTTTGTTCACATATACTAGTGTACTTACAAGAGAATATCTAAAATGTACACCTACAAAGAATTGCTGGGCTATAAGATAGGTATATGTGCAATTTTGAGTTTAAAAGTTTTTTCCCCAAAGATTATCCCAATTCATACTCCCATAGCTATACATAAAATTTCTTGTTCCTCTATATTCATATCAAGATTTTGGATTGCTAGATTTGATTTTAACAAACTAATAGATATAAAGCAATAAATATCTCATTGTAATCAATTGTGATCCATTAGATATTACTAGAGTGAGGTTTAGACTATTTTCCATAACTTTGTCATTCATATCTCCTCTAAAATGTTCACTTTTTCAAATGGCTTGCTTGTTATAATTAAATTATAAAAATTGTTTTCATATTCTGGATAATAACACTACACGAATTTTATGTCTTATGACTATCTGAAGATATTATCCTTTCAGTTTCTCTTTACGTTCTTAATATTAATGTAACCAAATTTATTAATCTTTTTATTATATATGGTTAAATTTTTTCATAATGTTTGAGAAATTCTTCCCTACATAAAATTAATGAAGACATTATCTTATATTTTAAAAGTTTCACTTTTAGGGGGAGTTGGTTGGTTGGTTTGGTGTTTTCTTGTTGCTAGGATTGTACCTCTAGCACTCACACACTAAGCATGAAATCTACCACTGAGCTAAACCTCAACCCCAATCCCAAAAGTTTTAAACTTATGCCTTTCACACTTAAGTCGTTTATGCACCTATAATTGATTTTTTTTCTACTGGAGATTGAATTCAGGGGCACTCAACCACTGAGCCACATCCCCAGCCCTATTTTGGATTTTATTTAGAGACAGGGTCTCACTGAGTTACTTAGCACCTTGCTTTCTGCTGAGGCTGGCTTTGAACTTGAGATCCTCCTGTCTCAACTTCCTGAGCTGCTGGGATAACAGGCATGCACCACCAGGCCCATCTCTATAATTGATTTTTTATATATGAAATAGAAATGTTTCAGTTTTCAATTTTTTTCTATATGATGAACCAATTGTCTCAGAACTATTAATTGAATAAAGTTCTCTTTCCCAAAAATCTGCAATAACATGTTAGTCCTATATCAGGCCCCATTCTATTTCTAAATTCTCTGTTCTACCAGTCAATTCTTTCCTACTATAACACACTATTTTAATACAATTAGACCTTTCTATATAGCCAATAAACATTTTCACAAATATAATAGAAATTCCTTAGTATCATTTAATATTCAGTTCAATAACCCACCCTCACCCCTAATTTCTCTCAAAATACCTTAAAGCTGTCAGACTGCTCTCTTATCCTTTCCTCAGGGATTTTATTCCATTCTGTGGACCATGCAGGTGACTGAAACTTTTTTCCAGTTTTAGTGGTTTGTACCAAAATGTTCTGGTGTATGGATAGTTTTTACTTGAACCTCTTTGTGGGGGATAGTGAAATCTGAGACCTCCTATTCTGTCATCTTGCTCTATATTATGTGTATTTTTTATTATTCTTCACAAAATATAGCATTATATATTTATTATGCACCTTACTTTTTTACAAGTAAGTGACTTTATGCTTTCTAATTTTGCTATTACTTTCTAGCTTTGTTGTCAGAGAGAATGTTCGTAAAATTTTTATATTTAGATTTTATTAAAGTTCTTTTCATGACTTATTTTCATTGAAAATAAGATGTATGTATTAGTCAGGTGTCGTGACCCCTCGCCAGCAAGGAGGACACGACACAGGATTCTTCTTTCAGCAGTTTATTCAGGCCTTTACTTATGTGTCTCTGGAAGCTTCTTCTTCTCTAACCCGCACCACCCAGCCTAATAAAGCATACCAAGCCCCAATGCAAAGCCGCCACGTGGACCTTTCTCATAGGGTGTTTTACAGCAACGTGCCATCTCTCCCAAAATAAGGAGTTGTTTAACACAGGCCACGGCGCTTATCAGCGCCATCTTGTAATGGCGACCACGGTCCGCTGACACGGCTCACCACAGTCAGGGTTCTCTAGAGGAACAGAATTAACAGGAAGTATAATTATAAAAGGGGATTTATCAGGTTGGCTTACACTACTAGAAGCTAGATAGTCCACAATGGCCATCTGCAGGCTGGAGAGCTGGAAGAACTAGTAGCTGCACTATCCAAGAGGCTGAAGCCCCAGAACAGAAGGGATCAACGGTGCTACCTTACTCTGAGACCAAAGGCTTCTGGAGAACCACTGGCACAGTCCACTTTGGAAGAATGAAGAATCAAGAGTCTGATATCCTCAGAGGATTGCAGGAGCAATCAAGAACCCTGTCAAGAAGAATCCAGCTTGCATCTGCTGCTGTTTCCTTATTCTTCCAACTTTTATTCCATCCAAGCCATCATTCTTTTGGTTGGTACTGCTCAAGCTTAGGGAGGAGCTCCATTCAGTTGGCTATCCTACATGCCAATCATTCCTAAATACACTCTCATTGACATATCCATAATCCTCGGCACCTCTTAATCCAAGCAAGTTGACAATTCAAATTGACCATTACAATTTATTTCTATATTGTAGAACAAAAAGGTTAATAACCTAATCTTTTACTATGTTATTTATGTCTTTACTTAAGTTTTTTAACTTTTTTTAAAATCAGTCTAGGGTTGAAAAAGTGTGTTAAACACTTCTGCTTTTAATACATTTTTATTTATTCCTTGTGTATCTTCTGCAATTTGCTTCATAAAAGTTGTTACTGGTCATTTGATGCATAGATGTTCAAAACTATAATGTCTTCATTGTGAACTGTAGACTTTAATATTATAAAAGACCCTTCTCTATCTTATTTAGTGAGGTTTTGGACTGAAGTGTCCTTACATGACAAAAAAATTCTGCCTCCTTTTTTAATTACATTTTTAATGTTAATTTTAACTTAACCTTTTAAAAATTCTTAATACTTTCATCCACATTTTATTTTCCTCCTTCTTAATCACTTTGTCTCTTGTATCAATAGTAGTCTCTTATATGGGTATTAGTTTTTACTTTGTGAAATCTTCAGATCTTGTCTTTTAATAGTTAAGGCAAGCTATTTTACATTTATTGATATAATTTATCTGCACTTAGTTCTGTCACATTGTTTTATGTTTTATTTACTATCTACATATTCTATGTGCATGTATTTATGTGTGTATATATATACAGATATATACTACATATATATTATATATATATACATCTTCTTAAAAATATTTTGAGATCTCTAATATTGGTTTTTGATTTACAATTTACATTTTATAATCACTGTTGAACACAGGAAATTTGGGGGGAAATTGGACATCTTCCCCTTGAATATCTCTGAAATTAGAATGTGTCCATTTATGGCTTCTTTGATTGAGAAAATATGATATTTTAAAAAATATTTTACAATTATCTTTACCACTTTCTTTTTTACTTTTTTAATATTTAGGAATGTTAGTATTTTTCTCTAGTTTTTATCTTTTAAACAGATTTTTCTACCTTTCTTTCTTTAGACTTCTTATGGTAGGCAAAGTAATGATATTCCAAAGATTTCCATATCTTAATGTTTAGGAAGCCATGAATATGTTACCTAATATGGCAAAAGGCTCTTTGTAAATGTAATGAATGTCAAATGTATTGAAGTAGGGAAAGACTGTTCCTGATTTCCTGGGTGGACTCAATTAAAAGCATGAGTCCTTAAAAATAGAATGCAAATAATTCTCTACTTATGATGGTTTGACTTACAAATTTTCAATTTTACAATGACATGAAAGCAATACGCATTCAATATAAATTGTACTTTGAATTTTGACCTTTCCCAGGCAAATTATACATTGTATGAAGTTCTCACAATGATAGACCACAGAAGAGAGTTACAGCTCCGACTCAGTCACATGACCACAAGGGTAAGCAACTTATTCTCTATAGTTCACAGTGTTGCTAAATTATAACATTTGGTAGGTTAGGTATATTCAATTTATGCATTTTTAACTTATAATATTTTCAACTAGTAAAGAATTTATCAAGACATAATTCAACGAAAGTTGAGGAATGTCTGTACAAAAGAAAAGTGGGCCACAGAGATGCAATCTGAAAAGAATTTGACCAGTCTCAAAGGATGAAGTGGGGAACACAAATCAAGTAATGCAGAAAGTTCTAGAAGGTGTAAACTAAGAAAGAAAACAAATAGTTCTTTCTGAACTAATTTCTACTGGTGGTTCAAATAAGAAAGAAATGGAATCTCCCCTAAAATCTCCTACAAAGATCATGCTTGCTAAAACCTTGGTTTCAATCAGTGAAATTTGAACTAGATTTTTGACATACAAAAATGTAAGTTAACTTTGTGTGGTTGTAAGCTGTTAAGTTTTAGTATTAATTTCTTATGGTAGCAAGAGAAAACTAATATACCTCTCCTCTCTTGTGGTACGGTAATCTGTTCCAAGTCATTTGTCTACTTCATGAAATACTTTTATAACTGCAATTACTTCAAGAATTTTTAAAATTTATATTAGAATATTGTCTTGCAATTATGCATTCTTAATTAACAATGTTTTTTCTGGTTTTCTTTTGCTTCTGAGAAGATCTGCTTCCTGGGTATTTTACTCCCCATGATGCTTTCATGAATTTTAGGCTGCAAAAAGAAAGATACGGCTTTCTGCTTCCCAGTATATACCAGATATTTCAAATCTGTAGAAAGATAAACTGTCAGAATAAGAAATAAAAAGATTTTGCAAAACATATAATATCTTTTTCTGAAAAATAAAATAAAGAACACAAAATTTTCACCAACTTTATTCCAATCAAAATTAAATAGTCCTAATCTCTGCTAGTCCTCTCTCTAGCAAATAAAAATCTCAGACATTGTATATCAAACTTAGGAAGGCTTTGAGAGGTGAATAAGAAAAGGCAAACTGACTAGGGATCTTGGGATTTGAGGAATGGCACGGTGAAATATTAAATTCTGCCCCACCTGGCAGCAACAAGATTTAAGGGAGACGTGCTAGGTAGTGGTGTCCTGGTTCCTCCCCCAGGCATCAGTGTAGACCAGCAGGGTAATAAATTCCAACTCCACTTAGCAATAATTAGGCCTAACAAGGTTTTATTAGCACTGGCTAATCACTACTCCAATTTACTCTCACCAATGTCAATATGTGAGGGCTCAATATGGGTAGAACTTCAAATTCTCATCCAACAACGATGAGAGAATGAAGTATTGTGAAACAGTACAAGTTGGTATCCTAATTTCCACTCCCAGATGTCAGTAAGGCCAAATGGGGAACTGAACTTTCACTCTCTCGCAGTAACAATGAAATAGACTACAGAGATGTGATGTGGTACTAGTTGGCACTGCACTTCCCCTTTACCAGTATCAGAGAAACCTAATAACAAGCTGCAATGAGGTGGTACTTCACTTCCATTGGTGTCAGGAGGTCTAAGTACAGAATCAAATGAAAATGTTTATCAAATGAAAATGTATAACCAATGTGATCCTGCAATCTGTACACGTGGAAAAATAAGATTACGTACCCCATTTGAATCAAATGTATGATATGTCGAGATCATTGTAATGTTTTCAGCAATAAAAAAATTTTAAAAATAAAATGTTACTTGAAAACTACAATAACAGAAATAAAATACTCATTGAGTAGGCTTAATACCAGAATGAATATAACAGAATCATTGAACTTAGCCAGGCGCATTGGCTCTACTGATAATCCCAGGAAGTTAGGAGGCTGAGGCAGCATTGTAAATTTGAGGCCAACCTTAACCATTTAGCAAGGTCCTAAGCAACTCAGTAAAACCCTATCACAAAATAAAAAATATAAAGGGATGGAGATGTAAATCATAACTCGTTTCAATCCCCAGTACCAAAAAAAAAAAAACTATGTAAAAATAAAACCAAAAAATTGCCCAATCTGAACAGCAGAACAAAATATACTGAAAAAAAAAAATCAACAGAGCCCCAACGTCCTGTAGAATAACAATAAAAAATAAAACACTTATGTCATTAGAATCCCCCTCCCAAAAAAAAAAAAGGAAGAGAAAGGCTATGATGTTGGAAAAACATTCTAAGCCATAATGGAATAATGTAATCTCATTTCTAATATCCAAAAGAAATAAACCACTATCTTTAAAAGATATCTGTACTCCCTTGTTCATTGTAGCATTATTCACAATAACCAAAATATGGAAACATCCCAAGTGTCTGTCTACAGATGAATGGATAAAGAAAATGTGAATAGAATATTCATAATGCAATATTTTATTCAGCCTTAAGAATAGAAGAAAATCCTGCCATTTGCAACAACATAAATGAGCTCATAGGATATTATGCTAAATGAAACAAACCAAACACAGAAAGACAAATACTGCATGATCTCACTTATATATGGAATCTTAAAAGGTCAAATCCATAAAAGAAGATTATGGTTGCCAGGAGCTGAAATGTGGGGAAGACTTTGGTAAAAAGTCACAAAGTTCCATTCAGACAGGATGTATACGTTCTAGAAATCTAATATACAGCATGGTGACTATTAATAATCATTTATGGTATTCTCAAAAATTGTAAAAAAAAATCTTAAGTATTCTCATGAAAAAGAGTGTAAGATTTAAGATATGAGATGATAGATAACAATTTAGCTTGGCTATAGTAATCATTTTATAATTTATATGTGTATCAAAACATTATATTGTACATTTTGAATGCATACTATTATTGTCAACTGCACCTCTATAATGCCAGGGAGGGAAAATACATCTGTGTTCATGTATTAAAAGATTTAACATAACTAAGATAACAATACTCCCTAAAGTGATCTACAGATTCTATATGATCCCTATCAAAAACCCAATAAGCTTTTTTTTTCAAATATTGAAAAGTTAGTACTAAAATTCATGTGGAAATACCATGGAACTTCAATGAGCCAAACTAACCTTGAAAAAGAAAAAAAAGCTGAAAAATTCAGTATCTCTGAATTCAAAACTTCATACAAAGTTGCCATGATGAAAAGGTATAATATGAAAACAAGTGGTACAGGCATAAAAATAAACATATATATCAATGTAATTAAATTTGTGTTCTCTCAAATAAATCCACAGTTAACTCACCTTTTCCAAAGGTACCAGGACCATTAAGTGGAAAAAGCACAGTCTTTTCAATAAATGGTGCTGAGACAATTAGGTATCCTCATGCGACTTAACAAAGTTGGACCCTAACTTCACAATATGTACAAAATTAACTCAGAATGAATCAAAGTCCTAAATATAAGAGTTGCGACTATAAAATGGTCTTGGAAAAAAGACACGGATAAATCTTCATGACCCTGAATTTGGCAATAAATTCTTAGACAACAAAAGCACAAAAGCAAAATAAGTAATAGACAAGTTGGACTTTAGAAATTTTTAATATTGTTCATTGAAAGACACTCTCAGGGCTGTGGCTCAGTGGTAGAGCACTCACCTAGCACATGTGAGGCCCTGGGTTCTATCCTCAGTACCACATAAAAATAAACAAAATAGAGGTATTGTGTCCAACTACAACTAAAAAAATAATTTTTTTTTAAAAAAAGACACTACCATTTGTAGAGTGCTTGCCTTGAATGCATGAGGCCCTGGGTTCAATCATATCAACAAATGAAAGAAAATATTTGAAAATCATATATCTGATAAAGGCCTAATACCCAAAATATTTAAAGAATTATTACAACTCAATAACAAAAAGAAAAAAAAACTGATTAACTGATTTACAAATGGGCAAAGGATTTGAATAAATATTTTGCCAAACAAGATATACAAATGATCAACAAGCATGTGGTTAGATGCTTACTACCCTTAGTCATCAGGGAAATACAAATCAAAATCACAATGAGATGCCACTTCAAATTCATTGGGTTAGCATAAAACAAAAACAATAAAACAGACTGTAAAAGTGCAGACAAGGATGTGAAAATCCTTATTCATAGATGGTAGGAATGTAAAATGATGCCTTAAATTTTGGAAAATAACTTGGCTACTCCTCAAAAAGTTAAATCACCATATGAATCTGCAATTCCACTCCAAGATATATAACCAAATAATTTTAAAACATGTTCAAATAAATCATGTATATGAGCGTTCATAGCCTATTCACAATAGCCAAAAAGTGGAAACAATCCTAATGTCAATTAACACATGAGTGGATAAACAAAATGATACATGCATATCATGCAACATTACCCACTCATAAAAAGGAACAAAGTATTGATCATGCTACAATATGAATGAGGCTTCAAAACATGGTAAGTGAAAGAAGTCAAAAACTAAAGTCACATATTGTATGATAACATTTATATAAAATAGCCAGAACCAGGTGTGGTGGCACATGCCTGTAATCCCAATAGCTCAGGAGGCTGAGGCAGGAAGATGGGAGTCAAAGTTTTAGCAACTTAGCAAGGCCCCAAGCAACTTAACAAGACCCTGTCTCAACAAAAAAAAAAAAAAAAAAAACCATAAAAAGGGCTGGGGATGAGGTTCAGTGGTTGAGTGCAACTGGGTTCAATCCCTGGTACCAAAATAAAATAAAATATAAATAAATATATAAATAAAACATCCATAATAGGCAGATTCAGAGATACAGATAGCACATTAATGGTTACCAGAGTTTATGGGGAGTGGGAATGAGGAGTTACTGCTTAATGGATATAGGATCCCCTTTCAGAATAATAAAAATGCTCTATAACCAGAAAGTAAATGTTTGCACAATATTTTGAATATAAGAAATGCTGGATTCTTTAAATAGTTAAAATTGTGAACCTTACATATCTGGCCACAAAATGTATGTATTTCTATGAAAACAATGACCATGATCAAGTGGTAATAAATCTGTAATACCAACTTTCTGGATAATAAGTAAATTTTCAAAAATAGG